TATATACATATATATATAGTTACTACCCGTCTCTGCGTTGCAGGTTCACGTGCGACGCGGCGCGAGGTCTCATCGTTCACATACAGGAGCAGAGCTACCGCTGCCACCGCGCGGGACAGCGCATCTACGTGCGCCAGCTGTTCAACGACTGGCTACACGAGGGCAGCATCATCTGTCCGCCGTGCGACGAGGTGTGCCAGCGCGTCGGCGTGCCGTGCCCCGCCGAGACGGACGCGCCCGCCGCGCGCACCGACATGCGCAGACTCCATTGCGGCGCCCCCGCGCTCGCACGCGTCGCCGCGGCAACCGTGCTCGTCGCCGTGGCGACGGCGCTGCTCGCGAGTTGAAGCTGAGCGCGCGGGTCAGTTCGTGCGTGACCCGGGGTCAGAGGTCGATGCGAGGTCGCGGTGGCGGAGGAGCGGCGATCGACGACGTCGATTTTTAAGAAATTTTTTATTTTTTGGGGGGGTTTGGCCAGAGAGTCTGAGAGTGCTTATCTATTGGATGTGCCCGGAGGCAAGCGCGAACACGCCGCTTGTTTCGTGGGTGCCGCGTGAACGGCACGTCGTTCTTTCAGGTTATCGAAGTTTCAAAGTTTTCCGATTTCTACACACTTGCACTGACAAGCAGATCTGCACCAATGCAGAGATGTGCACCAACGCACAGATGTGCACCAACGCACAGATGAGCACCAACACACAGATGAGCACCAACACACAGATGTGCACCAATGCACAGATGAGCACCAACACACAGATGAGCACCAACACACAGATGAGCACCAACACACAGATGAGCACCAACACACAGATGAGCACCAACGCACAGATGAGCACCAACACACAGATGTGCACCAACGCACAGATGAGCACCAACGCACAGATGAGCACCAACGCACAGATGAGCACCAACACACAGATGAGCGTTGGTGCTCATCTGTGTGTTGGTACACAGATGTGCACCAATGCACAGATGAGCACCAACGCACAGATGTGCACCAACGCACAGATGTGCACCAACGCACAGATGAGCACCAACACGCAGATGAGCACCAACGCACAGATGAGCACCAACACACAGATGTGCGTGCACCAACGTACAGATGTGCACCAACACACAGATGAGCACCAACACACAGATGTGCACCAACGCACAGATGTGCACCAACGCACAGATGAGCACCAACACACAGATGTGCACCAACGCACAGATGTGCACCAACGTGAGGATGTGCACCAACGCACAGATGTGCACCAACGTGAGGATGTGCACCAGCGCACAGATGTGCACCAACGCATGAAGCCCCACCAATTCCCGGAGGCAAACCAATACACAGGTTTGCATGAATGTGCAGACCCACACCAATACACAAATGTGCACCAATTCAGCCACGTACACAAATGTGCA